ACAACATCGAAATGGATACGAGGCTACACCAAAAACTCCATCCTTCCAACCCTTTGCCTTGAACATAGGTGCCCCTCGGCAAAACTGCCACCTGCATAGAAAATAGGAGTCCAGTACTTCAACATTCACTCCATTCACTCTGGATGGTCATGCTTAATAGCATGGCACATTTCACGTAGTGTCATGAGATCATGCATCAGGAGCACTGCGTTGCCCGATTCTGTACTGCCAGGAAGTGTTTTAACTTCCTCAGCTTCCAGACAATCTATGGAAGGGAGCAAAAACTGGGCAACTATTTCGTTGCAGTGTCTCAAATGCTGAGGCAGACAGATGGAGTTTTTCCAATCCTTGAGGAATTGAAACATTCAATACGACCATAACTGCTCTGAGAACAAGTGGTTGTCATTGTTAAAAATGTCAAGTTCTCTCTCAAAAACAAATTGCACTCATCTACTACAGTGAATATGACCAGGAAATTGAAATTTCCAGCGAGAATTGTGGCTCTCCAACCGCGAACATTGCAATGGCAGTGTTATGCACCATATAAGACCAGAATATATACAAAGTAAGCTCAATAAGTGAACTGTTCCAAAAGTCATGCTGTCTGAAAGCCATATGGTGCGCACAGTAAAAAAAGCCATCAGATGGCTCATATGACTGTTGCGCAAACAGGTTTTTGTAGTGCTGTTTCGCAATTCTTAGTTTTGAAGCTTCAGGACCGAGGACTGTGGTTGGAGATTGCATTCCGGGCTCCTATAATTTATCGCACTCAACCCGGCCCGAAAGACAGTAAGGAAAGCAGTGTGGTGTATCTTGCACGTGGGGCTTCGTTAACAAGGATATGGCACTGGAAACCCTGAGGACCTCGTTCGATTCAAGGCGCTGCTATGGTTTTTCGGATTTTGAGTTGCTTTTGGGAAAGAAATGTTCAGCAGGCTAGCTCACTCATCTCTTGTAAACACCATATCTTGTACACACCAGAGATCCAAGCTCTAATCCCCCCCGGGCCGGCGAGGAAACAAGGTTCGACTTCGCAGTGGGATGGGCACTTGCAGGGCTCGCGCAATTTATCACACTGGAACCTGCCTGAAATATAGGAAGGAACGCAGTGTAGTGTATCGTGCACGCGGGGATTCCTTACCGCCGAACAGGAAGTGGTACGAACCCCGAGGACCTCGTTCGAGTCGAGGCGCTGCTCTTCTCCCGATACTATGACATCCAATTTTTTGTTTTGTTGTTTCGAAGACAGGATAGCTCGAGCTCAGGCCTCACATGGATTTTGTAGTGCTGCTTTGCAATTCCTATTAGACTGTATTGTATATTGTGTTCGGGACCGTCGAATCGAAGCTTTAAGCTATAGTATATCTAGTTTTTTTTGGGGTCCACCAACCTGGTCCTGAATTAGACCTCTACATCTCATCATCCCTCCTTGATATTTCAGGGCTCCAATACAGACAATTTGAGCTGCATCTGATATCCATTTAATCAGTGGTTGTTCTAATAAGATTGAATCCCTTTCAAACCCGCTGGGATGAGGGCGGTCAAAGTATACAATTATTCCCTCGGGATCAGAATATAAAAGATGAGGCCGAAACTCACTCAAAGTCCCATCTCTTGGGGCCAATCTCCAGGATATTCATTCATTGAAAGCCTGCGGCCAGTTGAAAACACATACAACAAATCAGCAAGACCCGGATATGATTTCATATGGAAATCGCGGAATGAAGGTAATTACCTCCCTTTTGGTCGGGGCTGAATGACACCTTTATCTGATTTCAGTGTTAGAAGATTGCTTGAATCAGGGCCAGTTTAGTGTTGGCCAAGAAATTTCTTCTTTCTTTGACCAGAGTTGTTGTGTCAGTTTCATATTACTTTTTATCCAGGCGCTCCCAGGGGCCAGCTCAGAGATTGGAGTGTTCCGCAGGACTCGGCCGCGGAGAGGGAAATGTGGAAATCTGTGAGTCATTGGAGTGAGCTCAAGTTGAAAATTGAGAGATGCGAAGCAAGTTTGAGGACCGAGGTTTAGAAATGGTGTGCTGCTTAGTAGGCGAGAAAAGAAACGGCGATCAAACGGCGATCAACGGATGACCAAGACTATCCAGGTGTTCCCGCCAAGTCGCCACACCTTCAATATCTTTTTTCTCCCGATAGCTTTCTTGCTTTCTTCTCTCACGTTTCTCGCCATGGCTCCGCTGCCGCTGAGCGCCGACGTCCTCGCGTGAAACTATGCCAAAATAGCGGCGGGCTTCTCGCCATAACGAGCAACCAGCGTCGACTTCAACGCACCTCGCGTCTCTCTGGGCACTCCCTCCGTGTCTACATCTGCGCCGAGCTGCGCGACAACACGTCGTCCACCCTTGACTTCGGCTTCACGTCGCCGCTGCCCTCGGCCATTGGTGGGGCCGGCTTCCCAGTTCGCAGGACGGACAGGCCTGCAGGGCGGGTCTGTCTCTGTCGGGTCGGCGAAGCTATACCGTGCGTCTCCTCCCTCACCTATCCGATTAATGTAAATATTATTATGGCGCAGTATACACCTTCCTCGCGACGTTGATCCTGCTTCGCGGCGTCTCCTCCGCGATCGTCGTGCGCTCGCTGCTGCTGCGGCGGCGCCATGCGCACATGGTCGCGGAGGCGATCGCGGACGGGACGTGGGTCTCGCCGGCGCTACGCGTGAAGGTCGATTTAAGGAAGAAGCCGCAGCTGTGGGGCGCGTATCTGGCGCCGCCGGAGGGGGTGCGGGCGGGGCACGTGGGGTGGGGGGGGTGTGGGCGTGGGGGCGGGGGAGAAGGACGAGTGGGAGGCGATGATGGTGTGTGCTGTTTTCCCTGTGTCCATTCTGTTTCTTTCCTTGTTCTTTCTCCCCGTGTTCTTTCTACTTCTTCGTATCTCTTGCTTTCGCCGCCCCTTGTTAACCTCGCATCGCCCGTTCCCTCCGCACGTCCTGCGATGAATCAGCCCTATCGAGCCCCCCCACCCGCGTTCCTCCCATCCTCCGCAGTGCATCACCTCCCCCATCTCCATCCCCGTCCTCATCCCCATCCCCATCCCCCTACCCAGCCGCTGCCCTCCCATTCCCCCCGTTCACACCATCGACACCCACATACATCTGATCCCCGTGACTGATACATCCCCGCGTCCTGCCTTCCCGTTCATTTGTCGATACTCCCTCCCGCGAGTGTCCCTTCCTTCTTTCGTTTCCTTGCGCCCCTGTCCTTCCCACCCGTCGTGTCCCTTCACGCCAATTCGGCCCATCCCGCCTCCCTCATCCCCTTCCTCCATCATCCGCGTACCCTTCCTCGTCCATGTACCCTTCGTCATCCGCCTACCCTTCCTCCACTACCCGCGCACGCCGCACCTTTCCTTGCATTACGTTCCGTGTTCGCGTCCCCGTCACTGTCTGCGTCTTCGTCGCCCTTCTCCATGCGCTGCGGGGTCAGGTTCTCACCCACGTCACACATTTACATCGACCCACCCTTCCTTCCCCTCGCTTCCGTCTCCTGAGCCCCGCCCCGTCGTCTTTCGTGCGCTTCCCCTTCTACTCCCGCGCCCTTCCTTCCCGCGTCCCCTGCACCCTCTTCCCTCCGCTGCAGGGCCAATTCCTCCTCATGTTACACATTTACACCGTCCCACCCTCCCGTCCCACCTGTCACTCCTCCCTCCCTTCTGTCCTGCCCCGCCCCCGTCGTCCTTCGCGCGCTTCCCGTTCTTCTACTCCCGTGCCCGTCCGTCCTTCCTTCCTTCCATGCACAGCCCACTCCACTCACGTTACTGCCTCCATGTCCACCCATCCCCGCGTCCCCACACCTCCATTTCCCCCTTCCTCCCGCTCTCTGCATCGATCTTCGCGCGACGTCGGTATTCACGGCGTTCCGTTCTACCTACACCCCACGCACGCCCACGCACGCGCTCGCGCTCGCGCCCCGCCCGCCCTGCCCACACGTCCCCTGCCCCCCTCGTTCACCCCCATACCTTCATCGCCCGCCCGCGCGTGCGGCCCTCCGTCCTCCGTTTCCCGCCATACCCCCCTTCCCACCCCTTCCCTTCTCTGCGGTCCTCCGCACTGCGCTTCGTCCCCGCAGCGTACCCCGAGCTCCTGCCCGTTTCCTGCATCCTCTCGCGTCCGTACCCAACGCCTGCCCCCTTCTGCCCCCTCTCCCGCCCGTCGTCGCTCGCCGCCCCCCATCACCACCTCCATCCCCTCCTTACTCCCGCCTTTCTACTTCCGCGCGCGAATTTATTTCTTGACACATGGTTTCATCTCACTCGATACACGCGTACTCTTCCTTCTCTACTCGATACGCGTCCCCTGCCTTTATCCCGGTTCCGTCCCCCCGCCTACTGCACAGAACTAACCATTTTCCACAGCCTCGTACATCCCTCCATCGGTCCTCCCCGGGGCTGCGCCGGCCAATACCGCGGCGAACCCGCCGCAGACACGCTGGGGAACGTCAGTAGTGCACATGCAAACGCGAATGCGAATGCGAGCGCGAGGCTGGACGAGGGGAGGAGGTCACGCTGGAGCAGCCGCAGGTGCGCGTCGCGGCGCTGATCGCGATGCCCGTGCCGCCGTCTGCTTCCTCCTCATCCACTTCCAATTCCACCTCTTCCGTATCCGCATCCGCCTCGCCACCCCGCTCCCCACACTCCCCGCACTCCCCGCACTTCAGTGCCCATGGAGCACAAGAACCGACTCGCCCCGCCTGGGTGACGCTCGACGCGGACGGGGAGGTCGTCCTCCCGCACTTGGAGGTGAGGCTGGTGCGGGTCGGCGTCGTGTCGGCGTCTTTGGCTGAGGAGAAGGGGAGTGGGGAGGGGAGTAGCGAGGGCGGGAAGCGGGAGAGATGAAGACCATGGATGATGGCGGTGATATGGATAATGATAGGATGTATATAGTATGTAATTCTGTTTTCTTGCGCTTTGAATTCCGCGCGTGCAATATCGACCTCGACGCGCACTCGCATTGTCACAAGTTTCAGCCTGCCTGAAATACAGGAAGGGAAGGCAGTGTGGTGTATCGTGCACGCGGGGGTCGCATAATCGCAATAAATAAATCTGTACGTAACCCCGAGGGCCTCGTTCGATTCGGGGTGCTGCTCTTCTGGAGATTATAGTCATCCAATTTTTGCATTCCACTTTCGAGCTGGCATGTGATTTCGACTTCGATGTGCACTCGACCCTGCCTGAAATACGGATGTGGTGTATTGTGCACGCGGGGGTCGCGTAGCTCTTGGAACGCACGTAACCCCGGGGACCTCGTTCCAGTCGAGGTGCTGCAAGAGGTGCTGCTCTTCGCCCGATGCCAGTGTAATCATCGAATTTTTTTTTTTTTGTTTCGAAGACAGGATAGCTGTAGCTCGAGCCATTTTGTAGTGCTGCTTCGCAATTCCAAGTTTTGAAGCTTTAGGACCGACTGCGGTCGGAGATTGCATTCCGGGCTCCTATAATTTATTGCACTCAACCCGGCCTGAAAGCTATTAAGGAAAGCAGTGTGGTGTATCGTGCACACGGGGCTTCCTTAAAAAGGATGTACATGTAGAAACACAAGAACTCCAAGCTCTGCTACTGCTTCGCAATTCCCTCGGCTAGGAAACAAGGCTCAATTTCGCGGAGTCGTTGCTCAGGCTACTATTAGTATCTGTGGTTGGAACTTGCACTCCGGGCTTTTATATTTATCACACTCAACAAGGTCCGAAACAGAGAAAGAAAAGCAGTGTGGTGTATTGTGCACATGGGGTCCCATTTGATAATGGTAGTCCATCGTCTATGCCCCGAGGTCCTTGTTCGAACCAAGGTGCTGCTCGGCCTCCTAAGTATTTGGCTTGCATCTTGTTTTTTCTGAAAAATGTTTGGTAGCTGACACACTTCGTGGCTGGATTCCAGGAGCTTTTAAATACTCTGCTTCTGCTTCGAAAATTTCCTCGGCCACGGAACGAGGTATATTGGCGGAGCGATTCAACACCAGGCCAACAAGCTGGCTGAACTTTGCATTCTGGGCTCATCTATCCTCAACCATGCCTGAAAAACAGCAAGAAAAGCAGCGTGGTGTATTGTGCACGGTTTCCTTGCTGAAGTTTTCAAATGAGGAGGGCCTTGTTCGAAGCAAGGTGTTGCTCTTCTAAGCAGCTAGTTATCCAGTTTTTTGTTCTTCTTTCCGAAGAAAGAGTGGGTAGCTCGAGCTCAAGCCTCACACGGATTGTGTAGTGCACGGAATTGAGAAGGTCTACCTTCGAATTCACTCGGCAAACTCAAGCTCTACGGAGTCGTCACTCAGGCTGCTATTTGTGGTTGAAAATTGGATTCCAGGCTCATCCATTTTTTTTTGCACTCAACTACGTAGTTAAGCAAGCAGTGTGGTGTATGGTGCACACGGGGCTTCCTTGGTGAAGAAGTAGATCAATCACGAGGACCTCGTTCGAATCGATGTGCTGCTGTATGTCTTTCGTATGATCACTTTTTGGTAAATGTTTAGCTCACCCTGTGTAGGCATTCAAAAGCTTTGCTCCTTCACAGTTCTCCTCTCACGGAGTCTTCGTCGTCTGGGGCTGGAATTGTGTATCCCGGGGCTATGATTTTTATACTCAAGCCTATCCGAAAGACAGCAAGGAAAGCAGTGTGGTGTATTGTGTACATTAATGCAATTCTGCAATGTCCATTGATCCCCGAGGTCCTTGTTCGGATCAAGGTTGCTCTTGCATACTTCCCCTGCACAGTTCACTCACCGACAATGAGATAAGTGAATAACACTGTCCGGTGTAATTGCATATGTGGGCAGGATCTCTGGCTGATGACCCTGAAACCATCCGAAGGTGCTGCTCTACATTGGCTTTTACCTCTGTTCTCTGCCATTAATGCACATGATTTTCTCAGTGGCACTGAACGATTGTCATTGTTGTACATACCGGACAATAAATATACCATCACTATACTAGTACACAAAAACAAAAACTTTTAAAACTCATACTCGATCAGACTCCCATATGAATGAATGGTATCCACCGCTCGTAGGGGACCTTCCTCGCTTTCAATTCCTTGATTGCAATGTGCAGGGCCTCAGCTGAATCCTTTGCCTGAGGTGGGCTACTGTCCCGGAACAGGTATGAATACACAATATCCGCTACCAGTGGTCCATCCTGGTCATTCATAGCCCACAGGGTCCCAATGGAACTGCGGAACCCAGCAGCAATAAATCCTCCACTGAGATGAAAGGATTCATTCACCAGCTCAGCATCCCCCATGGCTGTCTGGCATGCAGCAAGAAACACAAACTCTGCATTCAAGAGAGGCATCCGAAGAATTGTGTCTAGTTCGAGGATGCCTCCATATAGCTTCAGATAGCTTTTCGTTGGATCACCTGACTCCTGTTTCCCATGGCAGGCTAGATGAACCCAGGAGCAATCCTGTAGCTGGACCTTCACAGCATCCACTGTTGCTTGCTTCCCATCAAGGAAGTTTATAGGCCCTTTAATGATTGAACTAATCCGTGCAACTTCCTCCTCGACTCCTTTCAGATAATCTGTTCCATGGGGACCAGTGTGTGTGACTCCGACAATACCAAACTTGGATGTGCCAGATGATTTCTTGGTGTAGGCATCCAAAAGAGATCCTAGTGTTGCTGTGTAGGAATGGATGAACTGGTCGGTCCCAGAGGCTGCATGCAGGGGCAATCCAGCGAAAGCACCAGTTGGGAGCCACCATAGTCTGCCATTATGAATACCATGCTATATGTGAGAAATGTTAGTTGAAACCTGAACAATGTTAATTATTCACTAACTGAGTCCAACACTTGATAAACTGGGGAAACAATTTCAGTCCAGAGCCAGGCCAACAGATCTGCAAAACATTCTTCAGGAGGTTTGGATGTAAAATATTCCTCTTGTCCAAAGAGTCTGGATGATGTAGAATCTCCTCGGCTCCTAACATTGCACCTACCAAGTAGTTCTTTGAGTATGGCCCTTTGAGATTGGAGGATTTCGAGAGTTGTGTTGGGAAGTGAAACATGAATTGGGGAGGAGGTTGGATCAAGGATTATAATTCCATCACAAGAATCTTCATGACTATTCAGGATCACAATAGGGCCTCCCTGGGATGCATGTCGAAGGACTTCATATGGTTTTGGCAGTAGAAAATATTCAAGGCCAGGTTGTTCATGAATTTCCTTCAGCAGGTCTTTCCTTTCAATCGCAAATCCCCTTTGATTTTCAGAGTTGCCCGAATAGAGCTGGGTAGATATCATTCGGAGGGACTCTGCCTGAGCAGGCTGTAATTGATTGGCATCAGTCTTCAGCTGAAGCATCTGCTGAAAGATAGTAGCTAGTCCTTGCTCCATGATTTCTACAGCAGTTGTGAGATCAGAGAGATCAATGCAAGTTTTTGCAGCTATTGAAGTTTTGTGGCCAATTTCAAGTCTACGGATAGCCTCATGACGCACTGGTATTGAATTTCCAATCCAAAGAAGATCAGGAAGAAGGTTAAAGGCAGCTGTGTAAGCAGTTACACAATCTGAGGGCTGAAATTCCTCTGCAAATGAGGCCCAGTCAAGAGCTGTTGCCCAGACATCCTCAGGAGTCAGGGTAGGTGATTCAAAAAACTCAAGGTAGTGAGTGTGAACAGCTTCCAGATATCTGGGCTCCCGAAATTGAATATAGTAATGCCGATAACATTGGGCAAGATGTTCAAGACACCCTGCTCGATCTGGGTGGCCCTTTTTAGTCAATTTTGCGGCTTCTTTGCCATGGTGCAATGCAGCATCAAGGTCCTTCATGTCTCCGAACCTATTATACCGATCTCTCAAGGAGACAGCAAGATTGTGCAGACGTTCTGCCCTATCATGGTGCTCCAGTGGGGTGTAATTCACGGCATCTTGGAACCTTTTCAGAGCAACCTCAAGGTCTTTGAGCTCTCCCAGCCTTCGATAGCGATACCGCAAAGACATTGCAACACTTTGTAGTCGACCTGCTCTATCAGGGTGGTCTTCAGGCGTCAGGTCCAATGCTAGTAGGTCGTTCTGTAATGCATCCTGAAGATCACTCAATTCTCCAAATCTCATATATCTATCTGTGAATGTTATGGACAAGCTTTGCAGGTATCCTGCCCTTTCAGGATTCCCCACCGGGGTGACATCTACAACTTGCTGAAACCTTGGCAAGGCATTCTCAAGATCATGCAGGTCTCCCAATGTTTGATATCTGTCGCGGAAGCACATAGCAAGGGTGTGAAGTTGCCTTGCTCTATCAATATGCCCTTCGGGGGTCAGATCAACAGCTTTTTTACAATTTTGCAAAGCTGCCTCAAGGTCCTTCAGATGGCATAACCTTTGGTATCGATCACGAAAAGACACAGCCAGCTGGTACAATCGTGCTGCTTTTTCGGAATGTCCTTCTGGTGTCAAGTTCACAACCTGTTGATCTATCTGTAGAGCAAATTCGAGATCCTGCAATCTTCCCAGTCTGAAATACCGATCTGCCACAGAAATGGAAAGAATTTGCAGGCCTGCTGCTCGACTTGGATCATCTTCTGGGAGGAGTGCAATTTCTTCTTCGAATTTCTGCACTGCCAAATCAAGGTCTGTTGGATCTCCCAGCCTTTTATAGCGATCTCCGTAACACACTGCAATATTTTGAAGTCGTCCTGCCCTTTCAGGACCCTCCTGTGGTGTGAGATGCAATGCTTCTTGAGAATATTCTAGAGCCGCTGTAAGGTCCTCGAAGGCTCCCAATCTTTGATATCGGTCCCGCAAAGAAATAGCAAGGTGTTCCAGACAGTGTGCCCTGTCTGGATCATCATCAGGGATGAGATCTACCACTTCTTGGTCAACCTGGAGTGCGGCCTCAAGATCTTTCAATCCCCCCAATCTCTTATATCGATCACTGAATGAGATACCAAGATTTTGAAGATATTTCGTCCTATTAGGCTGCCCCTGTGGGGTTAGATCCACTGCATCTTGGAAGTTCTGCAGCATAGCCTCTAGATCTTTCAGGTCTCCCAGCTTGTAGTACCGATCTTGGAAAGACCGGCCAACACATTGCAACCGAAATGCTCTATCAGGGTCATCTGCGGGGGTTAATTCAACTGCTTCTTGCAATATCTGCAAAGCAAT